GTCCTTTAATTTTCAAACTTATGTTTTATGTTTAAAAAAAACACGTCTATGAAAACCTTCTAATCTACATGACTCATAAGTTGATAATTCACGGCTGGTTAATTTTTTTTTTTTTTTTTTTGTCAACACAACCAGCGTTGGGAGCCAAGATGAACTCAGCTTGCCTTCTTTAATCTGGAGACTTCCTTCAAGCGGCAAAGAAAACTGGAGTCAGATTCACTGAGGCCCAAGCCAGAGGCTAAGGTGTGGGCACTTCTCTCTTCAGACTGCTTGCACTAACACCTAACTTAAACTAAATGAATAAGCAAATCTTGAAGCATTCAGCTGGATCACACCCTGCTATGCCAGGTGCATATGAAAAACAAGATATGCTTTTCAAATGTAGAAAATGAGATGAGCTATGCATCGCAGAGCAGGTACTTGAAAGCCTGGCAGCCTTGGTCCCGATTCAGCCAGCCTTTGGCACGGTTCAGTCGCCTTTTCCGGGGTCACATCCGTGTTGCTGACTTGCTGCAGGTTAATGTCTTCATGGTTTGCAGCCTATGCCCTGGGCTCTAGCTCATCATCATAATTGTTCACCTTTAGCGTTAGCTATGACTATAGCTCAGACATGTCCTCTCCACTGCCCTTCCCACATGCTCATTTTATTTTTCAGCCTCAATACAGGGCTTAACAAGAATGATCTTCCAAAAGAAAAGATTTCACTAAGAATATCTGCCTACTGGAGAGGAATAAAATGTGGTGATTATTTCAATCAGCTCAAGAGTCTTTCTAACAGATTGGCACCACATGAGTCACTTTTATCATTTTATGGTAATTTAGATCTCAAGATGAGAAGGAAGATGTACAATACTTGTGACATTCTCCACCTGCTCCACTTTACAGTTGTGCACATGTATCTCAATCGGGCAATCATGTTTATACTAAAATAAACAACCCCCAAATGTTCTGATTACATACAGGTACAACCTTTCCTGGTATATCTGAAAAAAAAAGGGGAGCACTTGAGAAACAATGATATTTAATTGTTGCTTCTCAATCTGGTGGAGTTTTGCCTCCTGATCCTGCGAGGTCTGTTACCTCATCTAATCCTGCAATGGGGCCCCACTGAGAACAAGCCAGAAGCACCTCAGTGAGAAGTAAAAATCAGACATCACCATGAGAATATTTCCATATATGTCCTAAGCGTTTCTCCCCATAGAGACATCTCTTTTACATCTTTTACTAAACTCCGTGTGTCCTGCTGGCAAATACCTTCCATATGTGTTTATAATTTTAAATAAGAATGTATGGTTATGATCTCTCCCCGAATGCAATCGTTCCCTGGCGAAACAGTAAGCATTAGATATTTCAAGTATTTCATTGTCTGCAGGCTGTATTTTGGTTGCTCTTCTCTGCATTCTCTCCAGTTTTTCTGCAAAAAGATGCCTGGAGAAGAGCCACAGGGCCACCAGAGTCTCATCAAAAAGGATTAGCACCTTCCTCATCTCTTTCATGCATTTGGATATGCAGAACTAAAATTATATCAGCTGTTTCTGTTGTCATGCACTTAAACTGTCGCTCACCGGTCCTCTTCTGGCACCACTGTTCAAGTTACTTTCCTACCACTAAGTAGTTTTTTTCTCCCACCTAATGAGTGTTTACAATGCGTATTTGCCTCCCAAGGTTGAAACACGCTTTGCTGTATCTGGATGATATGATGACTTTCTGTGTATTAATATTCCCAGTCCTATCCAACTAATACCCTGCATATGCTTCCTAAGTGCTGTTTATCCATTTGTCCCTGGATGTTTATAAGTGAGTTGAGAAAGCAAGCAGGGCTTGGACTTTTTGGATTAAAAAAAGCTAGAGAAAACATCAGTTAGCACTGAAATTCCTCAGAGAGGCCGAGGCCAGGCTCAACAGGAGATCTGTCGGAGGAAGAGCCTGCACACTGGATGGAGGTTGCAATGCCCTGTTCCTGACTGTGTTCATTTTATATGAGCTGAACCAGTTTTCTCCCTGCCAGCTTCTGAAGAAGCACTGCACACTAGTACTTTCCTTTGCTGCCATGCTGCACCATAAAAAACACACTTTCTGGCGGTTGCAAATGGATGAGTATGATTAGAAGAAACATGACACAAATCAAAACATTAAAGGGTTTAGAAAAGCAGGTATAGATTAACACACTAAATTTTATTGAAACAATGCTGCACGGATACAGCAATAATTTAAATTTTGTGTTGTTTAAACAAAGTAGGAAATACCACAAAAACCAGTGCTGCAAAAGCTGTACTTTAAAAAAACCCAAATATATTATTATAAATATATGGCACGACAGCATCATAGCATACATGCTCCCTCTGCTCCATCCCATAGTAGTCAACTGTACTATGATCCTAAAGTTTCCACGCCATCCCAGATTACTCCTCTTTACGGCATTAGTAGTGGGCAGGATTAGAGTTGTTTGGGTGTCTTCATCACCATCATGCTTAGTGTGTCTTTGCTTCGTGTAATAACATTATGCCTAAACTCGTGTTCTTCTTGTGTTTAACTTTGCAGTGAATTACCACACCACTGTAGGGTTTTAAAAAATCTGAATTGCTCAGAAAACTAGAATTTTGACATTATCCCGACATAACTTTACAAAATCAAGAAAGGTTTATCTGAAATGACACAAGAGTACCAAGCAGAGACAATGCTTCTCCATGACATTTGTAATACTTGGCAACTAACTCAACATCACCTCCCTTTAGTAGCAAATCTAGCTATCAAATCATTTTTCAAAAGCCAGCATGTACTTCTTATCTGAGGAGAATTTACAGCCTCTGGTAGTAGTACAGGTAGCCAGCATGTAAGAGACAATTTTAATTTTCAGTTGACTTCCTGGCTTAAAGGGCTGAGTTGATGAGGCCAGGGCTATTTTGTTCAAGTAGTCACTTCTCTCGGTGCACTCAGCAGTGCTGCCTCAGCAGCTAGGTTCCTCAGAAAGCTCTGCCAAGAGGAAGCTCTCATGCTTCGGTGCACGGGGTGGTATGTAGCCAAAGGCACTCTGAAGAGGGCTTGCACTTGGACCAGTTAATGTGTCAATGAAAACTCTGAACACACATCCCATCTCCATCGTACTGCACTGGTCTCACACTCACTAACACTGCATTCAAAGTCGCTGCTGAGGAAGAGCAGTGACTGGTTGAGCTACTGAACCATGAACGGTCCACTTGATGCATCAACAGGGAGTCAGGGAACACCAGCCTCAACGGTTTGATAAAACAACCCTTACTAGTAAACTCTGTCACAAACCAGTCTCTTCAAAAGAAGCCCATTTACATGATTTCAATTAAATTCCAACTTTTTATTAAAAAGTTTTATGTGTGTCTATGTATCCCTTTACTACTTTTTTCTCTGCCATGAATTAGTGTGATATAATATTATTTAAGAAGGTTGAATATTCAAGTTATAAGGTTATTGGCACAATTAATTAGTTGCTCACAAAGACCCACACACTCCAGGCTTTATTGAGGGTGTGTATTTTTTTTCAATATTCAACAAGCTTGGCTTTAAGTGCAAAGCAGGAATCAAAGTATATGATGGGTAACAGCACCTCAAGAACGTATCAAAGTTCCACCATTATTGCCACACCAGTATTTTTCCACATGGCATTCTTCACTCAGATCAAAAAGCACCTTCTAGCAGAGGGTCAGCAGTATTTCCACTTCAGAGGCAGAACCAAGGCACAGACAGCGCCAAGACCGTAACTTGCTCAAGGCCACTTGCTAAACCTGTACCAGAAGTACAATCCCCATTACTCATCCCTCAAGACCAGATGCTGGAAATTCCCCTCTCCTTTCCTGTCCATCATGGGGCAGCAGCCATCCATCACCCGTGCACCCCCCCACCGTGCACCGTGCCCGCTTCCCTGCTTGCAGGTCCCTTTCTCTGGGGCCAACACACTCGAGCCAAGGCGGCCTGCCTTCTCCCGGCCTCAGCCAGCTTACTGTCCCCAGGCAGCAAGTGCTGTCTACACAGGTAAAGAAACTCCCACGTACGTGGGACACCTAACCCATTTTATTTCGTACTGAGGGGAACCGAGGACTAACACCTACAGAATAAGCAGGAAGGCGTGGCCCTCAGGGCCCTCCCCGGCCTCCAGGCCTCCTTCCCAGATAGCGGCGGGGAGGCTGGTACGGCAGCAAACAGATCCCACGGGGGACCAGGCCCGCCCCGCCCCCGCACCCCCGCCGGGGTCCCCAGGGGCAGCCGCCCGCCAGGGGAGAGACCCCGAGTGCGCCCATCCCCCGACAGAGCGAGCTGGCAACGACCAGCCCCTCTCGGCGAGGCAGCTGAGGCCTAGGTCCCGTCCCGTCCCGGGAGGATGGTGGGTGCGGCTGGGCCCCGAGCGGCGTGGGGAAGGCCCCCCGGGACCCGCTCGCCGCCGACCGACTTCCGCGTCGAAGGCTCTCCGCGCATGCGCGCACAGCACCGGCACCCCCCCCCCCCCCTCCCCCCGGTCTTCCCTGGCTGTACCACTATGTGCCCAACGTGTGGGTAGAGGCAAAAGAGGACGGCAGTTCAAGAAAGCTCTGCAAGCCTCGTCCCCGCCCTAACCGTGCTCAGAGACAAGTTGGTTCCCTCCTCGGGTCAATGGGTGCTTAGTAAACTTGTTTCTCTTCTAGCAGGCACCTCCGGTCTAACCGAGCTCCCCCCGAGGATGGGCTATGGTATATAACCACTCCCAGCTGATCCAGAGGCTTGGCGAAACCATCCCGCTCAGGGAAGGGGGGAGTCAAGGCGCCGGAGGGAGGCGGGGGGAGCACAGGCATTGTTGAGTCAGGGGCCGAGCGGCGGGGGAGGGCGGGCGCGCCCCGCCGCGACAGCGGGATCGTCACAGAAACCGCCGGGCGGGCGGGAGGGGCCGCCGCAGAGAGCTCCGCGCTGCGCCCCCGTTCCCCTGCGGGCCCGGCCGGTAGGGCGCGGCCGCCTTCCCGCCCCCCCCTCCCCGCCGCCTCCCGCGCTCTCCCCTCCGTCGCCTCCCCAGTGGTCGCGCCCGGCTCCAGCTGACCGGCCTGGAATCCCGGCCGGGAGCCTCGCGCCCCCCTGCCCGCCGCCGCCCCGCGCCCCGGCCCCGCCATGGGAGACGCCGGCAGCGAGCGCAGCAAGGCGCCCAGTCTGCCGCCGCGCTGCCCCTGCGGCTTCTGGGGGTAAGCGAGGGGCGAGGAGGGGGCTGGGCGGGAGCCGGCGCGGGGAGTGGAGGGGAGGGGGGCGGCGGCGAGGCGAAGGGCGAGGCGGAGGGGGGGGGGGGGCCCGGCCGGGCGGTGGCGGGGCCCGGGCCTGGCCTGGCGGGCCGGCGCAGGTCGTAGCCCTGGGCTCGGGCCTGTCACAGGGCCCGAGCCCGCAGCCAGCCCCGGGGCGGGGGCGGCCGCGGAGGGTGCCCGCTGAGGGGGAGAGGGGTGTCCCCCTGCCTCCCGGCGGGCGGGGGTGCCGCGTCCCGGGGGAGCGGGGCGGGGGGGGGCGGCTCCTGGCTTAGAGGCAGCGGGTGACCCCCGGGGGGGAGGTGGCTGCGGTGCCCGCGGGGGGGGGGGGGGGGGGCGGTTGAAGGGGTGGGGAGGGCCCGGCCTGGCCGCGGCCTCCCCCGGCGCTCGGGCAGCGCGGCGGCGGCCTTCGCGGCAGCTGGGCGCGGGCAGGCCTGCTCGCTTCCCCGGGCACGCAGGCTTCCCGGAGCGGCCGCCCCTCCTCTGGGGTTGCCGGGTGGCAGGCGGCCGCGGGCTGCGCCCCGGGGCCCGCTTTGAGCTCCTCAGAGGCGGGGGGGGGTAGTGCGGGCCCTCGGCGGCCCTGCTCGGTGTCCCGGGGCGCGGTGCCCGGCACGGCCCTACCCTGCGCCCGGGAGCGCGGAGCTCGGGCTCCCGTTCGCGCAGATCAGCGCGGGGCAGCCTGACTAAGGGAGGGAAAAGGCTCGAGACGAGGATATACTCCTTTCTCCACCTTATGAAGACGGGGAGGTTCATCATAGATAAGGTCCTTGTTAGCTGTTGGCTGATCCCCTTTTAGAAAGAAGGAAGTGGGGTCGTTGCTGTTTGCCAAAGGTGGGGAAAAAAAGTAAGCCTGTTCCTTGCTAAACGATCACCTCTACGGTCATGTCTGTTGAGGATGTATCCGCTATTGATTTTTTGTATTTTTAAATTTTTTTTTAAATCAGATGTATCATGGAAGATGGTATACTGGCAGATACACATGTTCATAAAATGTCTTCAATGTATATCACTGAAACATTAGTCCCTAATGTTCTTATTTATGGAGAGTTCAAAGAATATGTGACTAAATAGACTTTTGAAGGCCCACCTGAGATTTACACTTGTCTGTGATAGTACCTTTTTGGGATTTATGTCATACGATTTAAGGTACTCTGGGGAAGTGGAGGCTGAGAGAAAAGAGATGTAATAAGAGTGATTTAGTGATGCCAATGTACATTTGGTTGGTTTATTGGAATGGCAGGATTTTAAATGAAATCCCATTTTTGAATTATGACAGAAGCCTGAACTGCAACAAATGCCATGGCCCTGCTGGGAATGATCTTGCAAGACAGATTATAAAAATACAGTAAATTGTTTTGTTTATTTTTGTTTTGTTACGCTCCCATATATGGGCCTGATGTATTCCATAATGTAGTGGAAAGCAAGTTGCTGCTATCTCTAATGTAGCGTACTGACTCCTGTAACATGATACTGATGTGGGAGTTGCAGAAAGTTGAAAGTGGACTTTTTCTTTGGGCTGAACTTCTTGGATAATTCAGCGTGTTGTGATAATGAGAAGAAAATCTGGTGCTTCATGTTCAGGGATCTACCGAATGGTGACAGGAGGCTCTCAACAAAACCCACTGCCTTTTAAGTTGCCTTTTTTTTTTTTTTTTAACAGATGTTTCTCTTGCACAAGCAGCTATCCAACTGATATTTTTTTCCTTTTTTTTTTTTTTTTTTTTTCCCCCCCCTATCTCCTCAGGTTGTCACCCATGCATTAGTGTTTCTTACAAGATATTTTTGAAAGATAGCACTGTGGGAAAAAAGCTCACTTTCTGCACCAATACAGTGAATAAATTATTCTCTCTTTCAGTTTCTTGAAGTGTCTGCCAGGTACATTTCAATACACAGTGGCAAACTACATATCTATTTTTTCACTTAAAAAAAAAAAAAAAAAACCCAAAACCCAACAAAACCTCAAATTGTGCTGTGAGCTTTCAGAGTTTGATGGTTTGTTGTACTTCTCAGTCCTGAAGAAAAGGAAGTGTTCTCCTTGTCCTTATTTGCCTAGGCCTTGCTAGTGCTTGAAAAGATTGGCTGGTAAATTTGTGTAGACGTCCCCTTCTAGTGAAGTTGCATTGGTAGGAGTGCTTAAGGGGTCACGGTTTTATACCAGCTTTCTGAAGAAAGTAAATTGTGATAGCAAAAACCTCATATGCATCTGAAGCTGGAGTTCTGCTGCTCTTGATGTCAGCTAGGGTTCTTACTAGCAACATGTCTTAAGACAGAATCTTATCTGTGACTTTCATGCTGCTTTTATATATCTGTTGAGTCACATTTTGGATTAACAGGGCCGTATTTGCTCTTTATCTGCAAAACATTTAAGGCTAGGAAAAGTTCTGAAACTTGTAATTTAATGTAGTAGTTTCAAGTGAAATTTGTAAGTAAAGTAATGTAGAGGAATAGTGTTGCTTTATGTTGCCTGGTCTCCATTGGTCCAGTGGTTGGGAATCCTCTCGTGGTTGCTCTTGAGTGAGCCTGAACCGTGTAGGTAGCAGAAGAACTTGGTGTCAGTGGGGCAAACAGTAAGGTCTAGATTTTGCCAAGTATTAGAAGGTGGTGATTTTTTTTTTTTTTTAATTGATTTTATGGAGTGCTTAGCCAGGACTGTTTGCAGTAAGATGCACACTTTCTACAGTAATCCACAAAGATAGGAAACATTAAGGAAAACACTGAAAGAAGCATTAAAATTGAAGTAAGATCTGGGTTTCTGGGATAAAACTTGCCCGTTGGTGAACAGTGATAGAAGCAGCTCCTGAGATGCATATTGCTAGTGGTGGGATGCAAAGAGATTACAGAAAAAGACTAGTATGTACTATTGCATTGAAGTTGGAGGGGTTCTTCTTTTAAAATGCTTGGTGTTATATTTTATGGTGTTATATGTTATATTAAAATTCAGATCCTGTAAGTTTCAGGAATCTCTAGTGAAACTACTAAACTGATGTTTCAAGATCTAAGAGACTGAAAAAAGCTGAAAGAAGGGACTTGAGTGAGGTTGTTGTCATGGTTTGGGGCCACCCCTATAGCCCCCTCCCCTGCCACCAAAAAGCTCCACCACTCACTCAACACAGGACAGTTGTTCAGAACTTCTGAAACATCTGCTTAAGGTCAACGGCTAATGTTTGCTTACCTTTTGTTGGAGATTGTGGAATCCATCCTTAAATCTTCTGCAGACTTGCCCTTCTTTTGGAATGTCCAGTCTGTTGTTTCTGCTCAAGTAAAGTTCAGTTGGAGCACTGAAATGGTGATTATATTTTATAAAATCATTTCAGTTACCCAGATGATCTCAATTGCGAAACCTCATCTGTATTCATGTTGTTTATGAAAAATTCACACAACTTACGGTTTGGAAATATTTTGCTCCTCTTTCTTCCTATTTTTAGATCTTAAACTTCAGTCAGTTGCAACCCTCGTGCTTTTTATTGGAATAGTCTTAGTGTACAGAGGTTGGAAAGGGTGCAGTATGCAAGTTGTTATTTTAGGTCACTTCATCTAGGGTTTATGCTGTGCGTAACTTCTCATTCTTATAATTGGGAAAAATTCTTTCTTCTTTTCCTGATTAACAGACCAAGTAATGCTGGTATTTTTTCTTAGACTAGTGGATTTCAGAAACCTGTTTCACTTCACGGCATGTATAAAATCTTGAACTCTAAGTGAATAAATACATGAAAATATTACTATATGTATATGTTCCAGTTAAGCCATTTTGCTTATTAGAGATGAGACATGATCCTTTAATGAACTACATGTTGGCAGTTCCCCATTGCCTTTCAGAGGACTCCATGAAGGTTTTACTTGTTTATAGCTCATCAAAGGGCTGGGGCTTTTACTATTAGATAGTTCTATGCATAGATGAGGCTGGTAAGCTGAAATACTCCTTGGTTGGTAGAAGCACATACTGTGAGGGAGTATGCCAGAGAGGATAATACTTTTATAGTTCTATTTGTACTGTAGTGATGGCTGCTTATTTGTCTTACGGTCCAGGCTGATACCATGCTATTGCGTTCAGTGTCTTAGAACCAGAAAAGAAGGAAATATGTTAATGGGCGTAAAACAAATTAATTCCATTCTTGAAATGGTGGCAGCCAGCAGGAAGTTGATTGAAAACACAGTATGATTAGTTTCATCTCATCTTATTTCCGGCAACTGTAAGGTACTGTAGTCAGCTAAAACTGATAGCAGTATTGTTTGAGAACATGTCAGCAGGGGTTTTGCAGGATGTTACCATTTGTTCTGCCTTTCTCTGACACTGCATGCATCATATGTGTGATGAGACATTGTGCCCCAAGCATTCTGTGCAGGCCCAATCCAGAGTTTATTTCCTAGTCTGGATTTTCCAGTCACTTATGTATCATCAGGTCCCTTCCATGCCAATCTGTCTCTTTTCTCAATTCTGTTTACTAAAATTAAACATTTGATCAAATGGTGAATCATTTAACATAAGCATGGTTAGTTTGTGACTGTATATCACCAAAGCTTGCTTTTAGCTTCTAAACAAATAATGACTATATATATGCCATTAAGAAGCCTCTTCTCTGACTAGTCTTTTTCTTCTTTTTTTTTGGTGATTACATCTGTTAATTCCATATGAACTCTCTGTGACAGTCCTTTTAATAAATACTTTCTAATCTCATAGGTCATCGTGAATGCATAATGCCTTCATAAACCTTATTTTGCTTTAACCACTGTTGAAACCTCACATAGATGTTTCTAAACAGGAGACTTGTGTAAACTGTTGAAATACATACCTTTCCCCCTGGGAGTTAGTTTTCACTGGGTTTTTATCATGCAGTTCCTTAGCCAGGCTTTCACTTACTGGAGCTTTGGATCAGATACTAGAATAAGCAATGAATTTGTCAGCTGATGCAAGACAATGTTGTGCGCTACCAAATAGGTTATTGTTTATT